ACAAAGGAGGTAGCGCAACATGAGATAAATAACGTGTGATTTTTCACAGCTCAGCGTCAGTGTAACTGCTGAAGGCACACAAATACACACTGAAGTTGTTGGCCGTCTTCAACGCCAATATCTCTCAAGCAGGCCTTTGTTTCCTTCTTTCAAATCTCATTTACTTTATTTATTTATTTTATTAGCAACATCCCCAGCGGCCCATTTCGGGAGATCGTTCCGCCCCAGAATCTTTCCTTTCAAATAATCTTATAGATTTCTGCTGCATCATTTGAAATTAGCAGGCAGCTGTGTCTCATTTTCACACAGATTTTTTATTTTTTATTTTTTCCCCTAAAAAGAGAAAGCGAGAAAGCATCCAGGTGGCAACTCTGCTGCCGCTGCTGCTGCTCTGTGCTTCTCCACCTGCTCTCAGCTCTGCACAGAAACGACTGGATCACCCACGGAGTGCGAACTCCAGTTCAGAGATAGACAGGGAGTTTGTCCTGTGAGTGGTGGGAGGATGAATTTGCATATCTGCAAATGCGGTCAGACTTCTGAGGACAGTTCGCCATGCACTCACGAAGCTGGACTCGGTGGATGTTTGTGGGGAATTTAAAATGCGCAGCATGTCGTTTAATACGTAAGCATCTCCTTTTACCTTAGGTTCTGCATTCCGCGGGTACATCAGATGGTTATCACAAGAAATTCATGGTTCAGGATCAGACGCCATACATTCATCACATAGAGGTACTAAAGGTTAAAAAAAGTAGTATGTTACCTTAGATTTGGAAACAGATTTAAACCTCAAGCACCAGTCTGTTTATGCTAAGCACCGTTTGTCACATTCTTTCAACTCCATCCTCCCTCATTCCCCAGTGTTCATCCTTTATCTCTACCTTATCTCTCCTACCTCTTATCTGTCATCCCTCATTCCTACCCTATTTCTCATCCCTATCCTTCAACCCTCATCTCTATCCATTTCATCACCCCTACCTCCTTCCTTAAGTCCTACTTCACTCCTCTCTAGCCAGAAACATACTCATTCGTACTCTCATCCATCGTGTCCACTTCCTTCATCCCTCAACCCGGCCTGCTTGAACCTCATTCCTGCTCTGCGGTTAAACCGTTCATCCATTTTGTTTACCCGCTTAAACCAATTGGAGCAGAGGGACGGGGGAATTGCCAATAGTCAAAAGTTATGATTTTTACATATTTGTTCAAACTGTCACTACATCTTGACAATATGAGACAGATAATCTGTGAGAAGACTGAGCTCCTCCACCTCCTCCCAGTGCTATTTTTGCCGTCTATCAAAATGTGCCTCTCCCGGTCAAAAACAACCAAATGGAGATAGGAGGAAGGTATTAGCGCTGTCAGTCAACCTTGTGTATGTGTTGCTCGATGAGCTAATGGTGGAGAAACGACCTACTAAGCCTGCTAACAAGCCTGATCACTCACGACCGGCTCCGTTGTGGTGAGCTAGCTCTACTGTAGTAGAGAGCAAGCGGTAGTGTCTGAGCAGCGTGTACAAGAGGGTGATTGACAGTGCTAAGACCCTCTTCCGGGCTCTGATTGGTTGTTTCTGATTAAGCAAACTCAACCAATGCGCTGCGGATGACAGCAGGGAAGGCAGAGGAGCTTGATTCTCCCCCTCCTCCCCCATACATTTTTTGTCTCACATTATACTGTTGTGACAAAGACAAAATAAAAGTTACACGATGCAGCTTTAGCCAAATAAGGATGAGGATGTTCCTTTGTATTTGACCCTGCATGTATCATTTTTGAACTCGTGTGTTCGGCTAAAACCCAACACTTGCATTGAAAAGTGACTAAAATTGTACGACGTGTTTTCAGTTTAAACTGGGAAAACGGTTCCAAATGACCTGACATGAAGTTAGCAGGCATGCTGATTATAGGCATATGTAAACTTATAGCAGGAAATGTTGGAGTCTTGCTATAGGTGCTACGAAATGAAGCAGTTTGGTCAAGAATTTTTCTTCATTTTCTTCTTCTCTAAAACATCAATATTGTCAGAAGGAACAGATATTTTGGCTAAATGTTGGGAATTCATGTGGCACTCGATAGAACCAGAGGCCTAAATTCAGACTAATTGTTCTGTTTTCTTGTTAAGCACCTTTCTTTTTTTTTTTTTTTGAACAGAAGCCAAGAAGTGCTCATTTGAAGCGAAAGCCTGAGTGATGGAGAGGAAAGTTCTTAGTAAATTTATCAAACGAGACATTTTGGCTTCGGCTCAATTCATCAATATGTTTTCTTTCTGCTGAATTATGATCCTATAGGTTTTCCAATGGGGTGGGCTTTTGTTCTCTTATTTTTGAGTTTCATTTTATTATTATTATTATTATTTTTTATGTCTGTTGTCATTTTGACAGATGTAGTGCTGGTTTAAAAAATGTAGCAGTGATCTGAATTGATTTTTCTCGTTTTCTATTATCCAGGGTGAAAGACGCTGTTCGTTCATGCCATGAATAAAAATAACCTTGCTTAGTGTTTGGCATTCAAGCTAAACTGCCTTTTTCCCTTTGAGAACTGTGCAATCAAATACTACTGCTTTAAAAATACATATTTACAATATTTAATCTTGTGTGCACATAAAAAAAAGTGCACACAGCCTTTCAATAGTTGATGCTTTTTAATTAAAAATAAAAAGGATTTGATAAAAAAAAAAAAAGCAAAACAAAAAAAACCCCAAAATAAAATAAAAATTGCAATGACGAATGTAAGTGAAGCACCTTGCAACTGAACATCAAAGTCTCTCCGAACGGAAAAGTCCAACGTTCTCACATCAACGACAAACATGAAAGAAATTTTGTACAAACTCATCTCCAAAGAAAATCCGTTGTTGAGACCGGGCCGAGCCGCATCAATAATTCAGTCCGAGATAGCTCACATTTGACCTCGTGCAGGAATTCATTCTCTCACACCGCACCAAGTTCATAGAAAAACGAGAGCCGATGCTTGAAAGAAACCAGAGGGGAGAGAAAAAGAGAGGGAGAGAGAAAAGAAGAGCAGCATCTGTATGTGAACCGTGAACTCTCCCTGCTTTGTTGCATCCTCACTGCGCATGGTGATTGATGGGATCACGGGCTGCCTCGAATGTAAAAAAAAAAAAACAGAGAGAAATCAAATTCGAGTAGATGGAAACCTCCTGCGGCGATAAAGGCTTTCGCAGAGTATATCGTGATGCTGAAACGTTCGGGATCCTTTTTAAAAAGTGCATTCAGGGAAGCGACACTGTGAACTTCAAAGCTGTCCTTGACCATAAAAAAAAGACACCTCTTCAATCTTATCAAATGTATTCAGTTTTAAGGGCTTTACAATGTGCTTTCAACATGGCTCCCGCACACTCTGCATGCAGGTTTTATGACAAAGTGCCACTTGATTTCGGAAAAGGTTAATTATGCTCTGTGCTTCTTAACCAAAATGCTTTTAGCATGTGTGAAAATGCTAATTCCCACACTGCTCTCTGACGTGATGCTTTTTTTTTTCTATCGTTCTTTTTGCCTGACAAAAGAGAAGAGAATGGAAAATCATAGTGGAAAAAAAGTTTCAACAATATTTTAACTGCAGCGTTGTACATTTTTTTCCCCTTTGGCTCTGTCGTTCTGTCCACCCACTCTGAGTCTGACTGAAAGAAAGACACAGCCTGTGACAGCAGCATTAGTCTGCTTGCTTACAAGTATGGAATCCATTGTGCCCATGACAACCATTGTGGCCAGGCTCAGTCGGGACATGCAATAACATAGAATGAGAATTATATTATTGCACACAAAAGAAATCCATATCCTTCATGGATGACCTGAATAGAAGCGTTCACATCCGCTGCACCAGACGCGAATGCATGCAAGCCCTGATAGAGAGATGTTCAGATGGGTTTTGAGGTTGACTCGTCTTTTTGTGTGTAGCGTTTTGGTGGGGGGGGGGGGGGTATGGAATATAGGGTATGCTGATTTTATTTCACTGTAGCGTTATCTAACTGGCTTTTGAATCAGATTTCCATATGTTTTCAAAGTACATGTCTTATTCCAGAGAAAAGCATTGTCCACAAAAGCTGTGCTGGAGCACCCAGTCAAATCAAAGTTGTGGCTTCAAAAAGCAGAAATCTGCCCCCAACTCTGATTTCGGGAGTACAATGCACCTTTTTTTGTTCTTACTGCTTTCGCTAAGTTAGTTCAAGGTTTCCCCCAGAAAACCTGCTAAGCTGGGTGCCCTGGGAGTCATTCATCCATCCGCATGTCGTGTTTTTGAGCTAAACAATGTTTAAAGTTGGCAGGAAATGTGAAAATATCACTTCATAATTATGTGTTGTTGAAAGATTCAAGAATAATACATGGGGGGTAATGACACATTCAGCTTACAAGAAAAGAAAATACACATAACTGCACAGTCCATTTACATTTTTTTTGGCAGCTAAAGGCCATGAATGACAACTTTCAGGGTATGACTGATGTAAGATAGGGAGTAGGAGAGAGTTGAGTGTATTCAGATTCTTAGTTGATGTCACAAGTACAAACTACATTGAAAGTTGTAGTTACAAACTGTTTATTTGCCTTTCTTATGGACTGTATCGCACAGTGAAATTATGCTAAATTAGGAGATATTTCTCCTAATCAGACAAATATAGAGCATCCATAAGAAAATTTGGTGGGGAAAAAAATGTTGCGCTGCTTAGTAGAAATAGTCTCTGACATCAGCGTTTAGAAACGTTTGAAGCTTTTTCAGTGACTGCTTTTTTTTTAATTTTTTTTTCCAAATTGACAAAATATTATGTAAAAGTTCTTGGGAATAGAAACTTTCCTCACATACTATTGAACTGACAACCTGCACAAACGAGCTACGGCGGCGTTGTGCTCCTCCATACATCAGACATCATGCTCGTGTCCTGCGGTGTTTAAGGATAAAATTCTGAAATAAAAACCCTTTGGAAAAAAAAAAAATATCGACATGCATTTGACTCAGAATCAATACAACATTTGGTCTTTGTGTAAGGCAAAGACTTCTTTTTTTTTTGACTGCGCGAAACACATTTTCAATAGCACCAATCTTTCTTATTCTGCAAGTAGTTCTGAAAGCACATCTCGAACCAAAGTACTTTGCAGCGAAGGACGCGTATGAACTGTAGACCTCCTGGACTGAACAACACAATTACTGACAACAAGAGTCTCTCTTTAAAAACCCGCTTTCACAGAGCGTTGCTCACTCGGACTTGCTGTGTGTCACGAGTTGAAAAGTAACAAGACATAAATGTGTCAAGTCTCGAAGCCGTACCGAAGAAACACCCACCATCGCCGCGTTGAAATGATAAGAGAGCAGGACAAACGACGACTCGTTTTGAGACGTTTTAATGTATACAAGTAGGAAACTTAATGTACAGTATTCACATTCAGTTAGTTGTCACAGTCTGGTGTTAGCAGGGCAAGTTGTTTTTTTTTAACACAATTGTAGTCAAAGTGGCTTTGATGTGCGCAACATCAAAAGCAATGAAAACATCGAAAAACACAACAAAAATGGTAAACATTTAAACATTTTGCATAAATAATAATAATCATAATAAAAAAATATTAAATCAGGAAGCAGAACGACATAACAAAATACAAAATGTGTTTTATTGTATTTTCTCCAGATGTTATCTCTATGGTTGAGTTTGTTCAGTAAAATTCTTATCTATTTTTTTTTTTTCAAACATGATTTTACTTTTATTATTAGGTTTTATGTAAAGGTCTGTTCTGAAGCCGTACACTCTTAGCATCATAGTGCTCTATCAATCAGATATGAACATTTTCAAGTTGAGTTCGTCTTAAGGGCTACAATCAGCTAGAACAGATGGCGTACGTGTCACCCTATGATTTTTCTTTGTATTTTCAGAAAGCTCGCGGCTTTGTCACATCCCCTTTACGCTGAGGGGAACCATAACAGAATCTGACATCAGAAAACACAACTTCAAATGAAGCCTGCAGAGCTTTAGATGCTGTTCTAGGACCTCCTGGATGAGCCGTTGACACGCTCTTGAAGTAATTTTGAAGTCAGGACATTTCACCACCTACTTGTTCTCCATTTGTAATAATGTTGTTCACTGTGATTCACTGGAGTCTCCAAGTTTTAAAACAGCTTTGTAAACCTTTTCTGATTAGATGTCTGTGACTTCATTCTAATCTGTGTTGGTTTTCGTTTAGTTATTTTGGTCTACTTCCACTGATTGTGGATAGTTAACCAGAACAAAAACATGTGGCTGATCACTGTTAAATTGTTAATATTCACATCTGGCTAGGTGTGTTTGGGCTAGACGTTTATGTGTGGGGGTGGGAGGGGGGCTGGGGGCAGGAGGGAAGAAAGCTAAACCAGAACAAATCTTAAAGGAAACAAATACTTTTTTTTCTTCAAATTCTCTACTTCTACCTGTGTTTCTATCTGAAACAAAATTAATTTGAGGTCATGTACCATGATTAACCAGTCAACATCAATTAGACAGTCTAGACAAAAAATCATAGCCTATAAACTCACATGTAGCTAAGTGTAATCCCACATTTTTTATGATTTTGGGCTATGCTTCTGCTTGACTTGTGGTCTTCTGAAATGTGACTGAAGCTACTTGAAGTCATCAGTTTGGATGCACAAATTGACCCACGGTTCCTATGAATTGTTTTGTTGCAAGAGGCTTTTATTCCTGTGTTGTTGGAGATTTTTTTTTTTTTTTTGTATAAAATATTGTCTTTAGTTTTGTTGTGTGATGTCCACATATTTTGTTGTGTTTTACACCCGAGGACCTCCAAATAATATTCCAGATCAAACTCCTGTTTTCGGTTTAATGGCATAAGTGAAGAAAACACAAGACATGTTCAAAAGATAAAAGCCTACGGTGAAGTGACGCGAACGTTGAGAACTCTGAATTTTGCGATATTTGTTGGACCCTTTGAAGCCCCTCTGGCCGAACACTGATGATGCGTCTTCCATTAGACGATCGTTGTTGATCTAATTCTAATGAAATTTGTAACAGGGTCCACAAAACGGCTCTACTTCACACAAAATTAACTTCAACATACCTGGAGACAAAACATCTAAAATAAAACAAAGGAAAACATTTATAGAAAATATTCATTACCAACCACTGACAATTGTTACAACCATACACTGCACAGTTTGGGGGAGGATTTAGTTTAACTGCAATATAGATTTCTGGTGAAGCCAGCCACTTGTAATTATCCTTAAAGGGTTTGTTTGGAGACTGAAACCATTGGTCAATTGTTGTTTTCTCTGTAATTACCGCCGTTCAGTCCTCGAACACCTCTTTTTGTCACACAATCAATTAGAAGCGGGTATTTGGAAAGCTGGAAGTGATCCAGTTCTCCCTCTGCAATCACTATCTGAGTGTCTCTTCTTTGTCGAAGGCCAGATAATAATCTGATGCTTTAAATTCTTACAAGATGATTGGTAATGTCTTTAAGTCCTTTGACATTTACTTTCACCCATTAAAGATGCTTCAGCAGTGGATCTCATAGGCAACCTGAGATCCAAACAGAAGGCTCTGGCTGAGAAGCAGTTCTTCTGGGTCTGCCGTCAGCGGGCCCTCGCCACCTTCAGTCGGGTTCCTGCGAAACCCCAGCCCCCCCGATCTCGTCAGTGTCTGGACCATTTCGTGCTCCAGGAGAGCTTCTTTCATTCCCTTCTGCTGGACAAAGCCGCTCATCATTGGACACCTGGATGAAGCGGAGCCCATGACGGGCTTGGTTCGGTTCAGGACATACATCTCATGGCCGTGATCGTCGCGGTACTCCTCCAGCTGAGCAAAGGTTGTCGGTCCGTCAGAGTAGTCATTCACGTAAAGGATGCTCTCCTCTTTGCTGGTGCAGTAGGAGCCACTGTCCTCTTTTTGGTACTGCTGGTGGCGAGTGTAGATCATAATCAGGAGAAGAACGGCAGTGAGAGCCAGCAGGGAGATCCCAATAGCGATGGCGGTCTGTGTGGCTGGACCCAGAGCGCTGAAGTCCATGCTGTCCTGCTCGTACAAGGGCTCCTGGCTGACGTCCAGGACTTCCGGCTGATAGAAGGAGCTGGATGACGACGAAACGTAGGAGTGTGTGTTCAAACGAGGCCAGAGCTGGGATGAGTACGAGGAAGAAGACATGTTGACAGCCAGGTGAAACGTAACCCTTGCCACTCCACCCGGGTTCCAGGCCTCGCATTCGTAGCGCCCGGCATGTGCTACAGTCACATTACTGAGGAACAGCATGCCGCTGCCCATGTCCGGATCAAAGCTGTCTCTTTCACCGCCCTCCTCGGCCCCTCGCACGAGTCCCTGGATTCCTTCGACGCCTCCCGCCTTGATCCCCCCGGTGCTAGGCAGGGCTGTCACCACTCCGCCCGGCCCTGGCCGGAACAACTCCCCGTTGGGTCCCAGCTCTTGAAAAAGACCTCGAGGTGACAACTGGGCCTTGCCATGGGAAGCTTTTTTCCACGTCACCTGAGGCTGTGGGTATCCAGAGGCCTGGCAGGACACTCGGAGGCTCTCGCCGAGTCGCACAGTCAGGTGGTTGGGCTCCAGCTGTACCACAGGCGGAATGCACACCAGGCTGTTCGGAGCAACCTCTGCCAGGCTAAGGTGGGAAAGACGAGGCGGCTCTGCACACATCAAGCGACGCTGCTCTGCCGAACTTAGCAAGCGCTGTCCATCTTCGCCGATCCAAGTTCTTAGCCAACCGAGAGCGCAGTCACATCGCCACGGGTTCTCTGAAGGAGCGGGACAGGAGGAAAAAAAGATTGATATATAAAGTAGTCTTGAAGTCATGTTTGGACTTCTAAATGACAGATTTAACTATATTAACTCTTGATTTCTTGACGTTCTTGAATTTGATCACAATGCATCCAGATGACTGAAAGTTCACATAAACTCGCTTCATTATTTCCTCAACCCTATTTATGGGTTCATGATGCTAAAACAGATATTGGGTAGTTTTCATCGAATATCACATCAAACATTTTGGCCCAGTTTGTTGGATTAGAGAGAAAACTTGAAGGAGGCTCATCATTGTTCACATGCTACCATTCGGCCTGATCAGACTTCCACATAAAACGAAGGAATCGTAGGATTCTGCATTATGCAAAACGTCATGTTTAGTAATGTTAATGACAGTGGGTTGTGTTATTGGCATTAATTAATAACACTACAGAACTAGATTACTTAATTGAAGTAACATTAGTATATTACCTGGTGAGTAGTTGGCACAAGCTAATTCTTACTATTTTTAACATCTGCACAGCTTCATACCAACACCGTTATAATCGTCTGATAGCAATAATCAGACATTTTAGTTGTTATCAGACATTGTGAGGTTATTTTCCTTTTTATTTAATAAATTTTAAAGCAAAATTCAATAAAATTAATAAAAAATATATTTTCAAATTCAATTCAGTTAAATTCAAAAATACTTTATTGCTCCAATTCAAATTCTTCAAAGGGTTATTGCAGATAGTGATGGTTGTTGGCAGAAATGTTCTAATTTTTTTTTTTAATTATTCAGTAATCCAGGTTACGCTTTGTCCATTCAGTCCACTCTCACTATCCTGGGGTGTTTACATTTTGGTTGCCTTCTATATTTGTGTTTTGATCATTTTCTTGTTTGTTTAGATTTGTTTGTTTTTTCATCTTCAGCTCATTCCTTGTGCTTAGTTTGATATGCGCTCGGGTCTTTTTCTAAAACATACCAGCTACTTTTATTTTATTAGTATTGGATAATTCAATACTTTACCTAGAAGTAGGTCAGCAAAATAACTTTAAACCGACTCGTTTTTAACCGAAATGTTTTTTTTTTTGAGTTTGCTGAAACACACATCCATCCTTTTTTTTTTTTTTTTTGTCCATAATTTATTTTAGGGAGCATGCTGAAGCACTTGACTCTGCTCTTCTCTTCTGTTCTGTGGGGTGTGTGGTTTGAAGAAAGCTGCAAAATGCCATTTCCCTAATCCAAAAATGAGAGCCTGTAGGATTTTTTTTTTTTTTTTACCTGACAGTTTACAGCACAGCAAACCAAATGCACACAAGCGCTTGGCAAAAGTGCACATTTTTTATTCTGCAATACTAGATTTCCCTCGCCGACACTTTCACCAGGGATATTTGGAGACGGTCCATCTTTTTGACATAAATTCATTTTGAGTCCTCTTTACTTGGTCCTAGTTATTAAAACACTGCATCAAATCTATAAATCCCGGATAACAGGAGGCTAACCAGGCAGTTAACTCAACAATCTGCAACAATCACAGTGTAACACCTCCGTTACATATTAACTCCTTATACACAGAGATCATTGAGAATTAAATCAACTAGAATGTGAGGGTAATATCAAAACACATATATATTTTATATATGTTTGTTTATTATATCTCACTTGAAAATATGGGAAAAAGACATTTCTCTCTGTAAATAACTTTGTAAGATGAATTTTTAATGGTTTTTTTTTTTTTTGCATTTGTAAGTAATGCAAAGAGCAAATATAAAAATCTAGAAATTCCCACATGCGAGATGCAACCTAACGCATCATGACATGTTTAAGGTGGGATGGGATAAACACGAGAGGTTGGATTTTTTTCTTCAGACGAGAACATACGCAGTCTTAAGCACGTCAAAGAGAGCTTGTGCACAGTTGGGGGTCTGGTATGAATGGCGCCCCTCAGAGATTCTCCTTTTTCAAACTCTAATCATCTCCAGAACCATTTTTTTTAAAATCCCTATTTAATGTGAAACAATAAAGTCCAGATTAGACTTTAGCTTTCAAACTAGACACGATCGAATCCAGTCTTGTTGTTCCTAATATCGGAAACATTTGACAGTGACTGTGTAATTGGAGTACTTACAAAGTGAACAGCACAGTGTAACTCTCACACCTCATTCACAGAACAAGTGAGTTGGCAATCTAAAAGTTATTCTGGGTGCAAACTGAAATAGAGCCATTTTGTGCCGCCCCCCAGGGACACCCAGAGTGGTGAGCCATATGGCCCTGATTAAAAACTGCCACTGCTTTAGGCTTTCCGAGGCCTTTCCATAGGAAGCTGCCAAACTCTATCCCTTTCCTGTAAAAAAAAAAAAAAAAATCATGCATTGGACTAAAATTTTTATGTATATTTTTAGCAAAGCACAAAGTAGGATTAATGTTATTTCATCCCTTTGTCATTTTAAAGTACTTTTCTGCATTCTGGTGAAAGTCAGTGATCAAAACATGGAGTTGTATCACTCCAGTAAAAATATCTTCCAGCACAAGGTTGCTGAGTCATTTTGATTTGAACAGAGTTTAGTTGATAACAAGTCATATTTTAGAAGAGTCAAATGGCCGATACAGATAAGAGAACCCAAGAAAATGGAAATAGTGATATAACGTCTATAAAAACACACGACTGTTCCAAATTATGTTCGACATTTGAGCATTTTATTTCCAATATTTCCCTTGAGCCCTGAAATACCTGACTAATATCAAAACTGGGACTGTTTAGTTGCAAACACAAGATGACAAGTCATGTTGTAAATCAAAACTGTTGGACTAAAAACCACACGTTAAGGTGTAATAAAATCCCAACTGTCGCATGCTGGAAAACATCTAACGTGTCGGGACCTAAATGAAGCAGAGTAGCTCAGTTCCACACTCCTGTGTCACCTGTGCACAGCTGACCAATTACCGCTAGAAGTATGAGTGGATGTCACAGCGCTGGTTTGAGAAAGTTGCAGAAATGGTCGGCCTTTACAAAAGGTGTGAGAGGAAGAAGTCCCAAAGCTGGTTGGGATGTACTGGCCTCCTAATTGGCCTTTACACCATCTTCCTTTAATTGGATATTTCGCCATTATGCACTCTACGATGGTGTCTTGAAGTACTGATTTTAAAAGCAAGACCTTGGTTGGGTGAATTTCTCTAACATGCAAAAATTTGAAGGGCTCTTCATTTTCTTTAACACAAGTCACTGGAGTATTTCTTTATATAAAAAGATCAGGAGCAACTCTCAGTGCTTTGCTAAATGTGGTGTTAATTCTGTAATATTATGACACAAAATATATTCTAAAGATTCAGGGGAGTTTAGACAGTAATATAAAAACACAGCATGATGTAACCTGTGATACGGAGCACTTGCAGGCTGACGAGGGGTTTGAGGAACGAGGCTCCCAAAGTGCGGAGATGATTCCTGCTGAGGTCCAGCAGAGCTAGAGACGATAAACCAGACAGAGCGTGCTCGGCCAGCAACTCTATGCTGTTCTCCTGCAGGTGCAGTTCCTGCAGGCGCTGCACATAGAAGAAGACATAAAGCAAACAGAAAGACAGGCATGGAAAAAGGTTGTCAAATGCCGACAGGTAGTAAAACCTGCAGCTGAGTCAATCTTTACCGCAGTAGGAGTAAGATAAGGATTAGCAAGACATATCAGACTCAATTTATTGTAGATGTTATTCTACCAAATCCAGAAAAAGTCATCCTGAGTTTAATTTATGGACAACTAAACTCAAACATCTTTATCTTTCCTAATAATCTGACCGGACCTGCAGTCCCCTGAAGGTGTGGTCTTGGATGCGAGTGATCTGGTTGCCGGCAAGGTAGAGGATGCGGAGGTGCTCCAGACCCCGGAACATGTCGGGAGTGACCAGGTGGATGAGGTTTCCATTGAGAGCCAACTCCAGCAGCTGGCCCTGATTGAGAAAAGCCCCAGGTTCCAGCGCCGAGATGCTGTTGTTCTGGAGGTACAAATAATGGAGGCTTCTCAGGCGATTCAGATCCTGAAGACGGATCTGTACTATGGCGTTGTCCTGGAGAAAGATCGTCTTTGCAAAGCAAGACAGAGATAAAGAAAACGAGTGATCAAGACGTGCAAAGGTCAGTGGAGTAAGCAGTTTTGCGAGGCACTACATTTTGCTGTGCTTTGCAGAGTTTGGCAAGAATATTGACAAATACCAAAGGGAACAAGCTAGTCAAAGATCGGGACAATAAGCCAATGTTGTGGCACTTCTCTGGTTTTCGTTGCTTCTTTTGCTAAACATTGCAGGGATCTGCAGAAACACTTGATTGATTTGGTCTTCATGAGAAGTGCTTTGCAAGTTTTAATCCACAATCCACGGGCGCCCGCCTGATTGCTAATGCGACTTCGTCGTGCATCGAGGTGAGCTATGATCGACGAGATAGACCTGCTGATTGAGGTTAATGGAACAATTTATGCGAGACTTGCTTTTCATCAATATTCATGAGCTGCGGTAATGTTGGAGGGCCTGAACCCTGTAGGAAAAGACGATGTAATGTTAAACATCTTCTTAACAGACGATCAGTGGGTGTGCGAGAGTCACTTTCTGAGGAAGGATGAATAATTACGCAGCCGCCGGCGCAGTCCGTCCCTCAGGCTTGCGTCAAAGAGGGTCACAGTGAATTGATTAATCACGACCACTTTCAGGGTGATGTGAACGGATTCAGGAGGGCACCTGAAAACCACCTCTATGCATGGCTGGAGCCTCTAACTTTTAACCAGTTGGCCAACTGACCTCCGTGATGGAGGGAGCACCCTGTGGGATTTCCTTTATCCCCAGCGATCCGCACTCCACTGTAAGACTGTAGCAGCGACATCCATAGGGGCAACCCAAGGACCGGAGAGGGATGAGGGCGGAGATGAACAGGGTGAGTCCGGAGAACCACAGGAGGGTCATGGCAGTGGCACAACGCCCCTTCAGAGACAAATCCTAAGTAGGGAAGACAAAAGGCAAGTAACAATCACACACCCACCTCTCATCGCAGTTGCACAAGAACAAACCTTTTGGTCCAATGCTGCAATATGCTCTCATAGCAGACAATATCTAGGGCTGCAGGTGTATTGAATAAGGAGATGATTGTCAAATAGCAAGGGAGGATTTAGAAAGAGAAAAAAAAAAGGCAAGAGAAGTTAAGCATGCCTCCTCATCCCCCGGCTGATTACTATTCAGCTGTGTCTATTCAGTGGAATTGCAGCAGCTTCTATTATAGGCTTCAATAAATTAAAGATGTGATAAAAGATGCGCAGGTTGCCTCAAGGACCTCTCTCTGTTCTTTTTAACTCATACACAAACCCAATCTTTCAGCGGCTCCGTCTCTGTCTTCCCAGCGCATTCATATGTACGCGAAGCGAGGGAAGAGAGGGACCCGCAGTTGAGCTCCATAATCTCCGAAGCCACCTTCACCACCTCGAAGCAAATCCCACGAGGTAAACAGCTCTAATGATCTGATCATGACCATCAGGGTTGGCCGCGTGGCGCACCTCGCGGCGATACATCCCTTTGATATGAACTCATCACTGAGCAACTCAACCGTGCGCTGCTTGCTTTCTTTCTTTTTTTCTATTATTATTCCTATACTGCCTGGAAGGAGTTTATTGTTCTGTCTGACTGCTCACATCAAAACGGCCTCATATACTCCCTCCCCAATAACACGCAGCCTGGCAGCATATGCAATCGTTCCTCGGCTGCAGATAGCATGAAGGTACAGCGCTGCTGGAGATATAATACAAGTTGAAAATGTCACATTGCGCTGGTGCCGCCGCCACACCGACAGAGGGTGGAAGAAGTTTCTTCCGGCTGAGTTGCACTCGTCTCCCCGCTCCGATCTAAACTCTCATATTATCATAAATGATTTATGTGCGCCCGGGCGGCGTCTTCGAATCCTGTTGAGCTTGTTTTACATGCAGAATTTCTGGTTTGTTTAAGGCCGCCGAGCTTGCCCAGATGGCTCGCAAATTCACGGCCCGCTCTGGATCACCTGATATTCTGCTTTATTAATTGCAAGGATATCCGCAGGCCTTGTTTAAGTCAAGTGATAAAATGGCCCTGCGCCTGAAATAAACTGCCACTTATTAATATTTAGTGCCTGAGCTGCTCTGCCAGATTGATATACGCGTGCCCCATTTGTAATGCTTCAATCCAGACCAGTAATGTAATGCCTAAGCGTAAAAGCAAGTCGGAAGTCTTAAGTCTTAGTGGCCGAGAAGTAATTCCCAGTGCAGCTGTGTAGCATTATTGAGCCAATCAGCAATGAACTGGATTTTAATGTGGCACATTTGATTTGGAGCACATTTGCGAGGATAGGCAGCCAGATTAATACAATGTGACCTACATAAGCTCTTCTGTCACTGGTGTCTCACTTATTAACAAAAGGGGGGTGCTGCCATGTCTCTTCTCCTGCGTGGAGAGAGAAATCATGTGTTCCATTGTTTGGGACCGAGGACATGAAAATTAACCGGCGAGCAAGGTGCTGGTCTGTAACATTGTTGCCTCCTATGGTGAGGCATTGTCTAAATAAGTTTGACTTGGGTTTGAAGGAAAGAGAGCGAATCATCTGCCCTCGGCTGCAATGCCTTGAAAGCCCTCAATGGCACAACAGAACTTTTTATATGTTCTGTGTAGTTGCTTGTTGTAACCATATGGGTGAATCAAGTGCAAATCATCTGTGATGCGAGATTGATAGAAACGGCGCAGGATGGGGCTGCATGTGCTGTGCAGTGTGCTGTGCTTGTTACAGACTAATCTGTCTTTCCTCAACAGGGTAAGCCCCCTACTCATCACACAGCATTATGTAGCAGCTTTTCATTTAGTTTCCTCTCTGTGCTGTATGCATTGTGTAAGCTTTATTAAACGCAGAAGCACAGAAGTCCATTTTATCCAGTCAGCTAAAGTTTGGAAAAATAGGTTCCCCACCTCATCTGATAGGCTGGGAAAGAAGTGGCAAAGAGACCCGTTTTGTCAGGTTCACTAGCTGTGGCTTTTATTGAGAAGGGACAAGGAGAAAATCATTGTTAAAAGCATTAGAAGTCTGTTTTGCGAAAGTAATTTAGGAGACAAAGATAACATGGAGGAGGTTCTCTGATCAAATGAGACCAAAATTGAATATAGAAGACGCAGCGACTCTTTTAGCAGAACAATAATAATGCACATGGGGAAGCATGGTGGTGGCAACATCATGCTAAGGTAATGCCTTTCTTCAGCACAGACAGGGGATGCTGTGCTTGAGTTTGGCTGGTGAACTTGGCAGCAGATCTCAAAGTTTCGACTTCAGGAAGGCAGATAGAAATGTCTGCAGCACTTTACAGCATTTTACCATCAAAAAAACGAATACCTTGTGTCACAAATCCAGTGAAGCGGAGTGGCACAATTTGTAACCGTAATGTAAAAAAAAATAAAAAATGGGAAAAGGTGTCGTAAGGGATTGTAAAAAGTTGCACATCACAGATGTCTGGCTCCCGACTTGAACGCAAATGACACCCTGCCATTTAGAGAAAACAGAACGTCTCTTTCCCGCACTTTCATTAGAGGAAAAAGAAAAGCCCCTTGATTGACTATCGTTTTGCTGAAAAAAAAAAAAAAAAAAAGTGATGACAGCCTGATGGGATGCGAGCAGGACTGACGGCGTGACCAGCATCGGCAAACGAAAACAGAGACTTTCTTTAAACAACGCCGCCCAGAGTTTTTCTCCAGCACGAAATGGGTCCAGATGTTCCAGATAAAGCTTCAAGTATCTGTTCTTGACCCACTTTTATATTTTTTACTGGGAGGTCAATTTGTTCATTTGAAGCTGAGTAATCCTCCGCGGAACACGCGGTAATCTGCACAATCAGACGCTTGTTAGCTAAGCCGCTCCAGGCGCCGACTTACGGTTTCATAGAAGGAGGATGCTTTTGTTTACTGGGGAATGAACCAGGTCAGCAATAAATCTCTGTTACCGGTGAGTTTAAAATGTGTAAATTGGATGATTAAAGCTTAATGTTGTGTACACAGATCAGGCTGTCAAAACGCGAGCAGCTGCAAAGGTCCTGTGATGCCAGATGTCAGTCAGCGAATGCCAAAAGGAAATCAAATCAAGCTGCGCGCGCCCGTCAAAATTTACCTCCATCACCCTGAGTCCCGAAATGCTTCTGCAAACACTTCACTCCAGGGTTTGTTTTTTCAGGTATTTCTGAAGATTACATTCGCCACTCTTATTCTCGACATGGCATTTTATTTTCTCACTCCAAACAAACCGTTCTCCTCTGAGCAATCACAGCCTCACTCTCGGCCAAACATTCCCCAGCAGAAAAAAAAAAAAACAAACAAAAAAAAACATGTTGCCGCGTCTTTCCGTGATGATTGTTATCCAGGAAAAAAGGTGGGTGTCGGTGTGTCGGAAGCAATGCAGACAGCTGAAGAGCTGGAGGCTGAAACAAAGTTCACATCCCTGCGCTGCCACCCGTACAGGTCGACCTCATCTGTTGTTATGGTAACTCCTGTGATGAGGGAAGGTCTTGCTCACAGGGCCCGAAGGCCAGCCGGGGCTCCCGTGAGCCGCTGTTAGGCAAACAACTCCGCAGGAATAGAGGCTGTCATTTCCCACGGAAAATTTCTCCCAAGCACTCGAGCTATCTGATGACCCACAGCTAAATAGCTGAATTTTTTTCACTCCAGCTTCCCCACACCCCCGTCTTCAACCCCAACTTCATCTCTTTGCTCCCTTTCTGCTCTATTTTTCCCCTTCAACAATTCTCCGAAAGATCATTTTCCCTTCCTGAGTCTCTGACCTCTGCCTTTTCTCATCTCACGTCCTTCGTCTCTGACTGGCAGGTGCTAAATCATTTGTCTTAGAGCATTCTTTTGTCCACAAATAGACCGAGGCCAAGCCACTAACCCGACTGCGCAGCACTAACCCAAGAATAACACACCGACTTTGAGAGATTGTCTCGGTGCGCAAAAACGCGCACGCGCTCTCGCGCCCCTGCGCATACATGACACGCCTACAAAGTAGCAGTTGTGCACAAACGCCGGCCACCTAAATCTAGGGGGACCGGGGGGGAAAACACACACACAGGCGCACGAGGTTCGTGTCTAAAACCAGCAGCACCATCATCATTCACCTACAAGTCAAACACACGCGCCCACACATATTTTTCTTCTTTTTTTTTTTTCCGTACAAGTATAGTAAAGGAAGCTCTGCTCAGTTAATAAGTCTGCATTGATTTCTTTATTTTTCCACAACTGCCCTGTCCTTCTTGGCTTCTGCAGCCATCGATTTTCAACATGAAAGCTGATGGGGAGGGGGAGGTCGGTTGGCATTTGCGAATGTCTATGTTGAAGAGAAACAGAGTAAATGAGTGGATTTTTTTCTCTAATAGTGCATGTGTGTGTGTGTGTGTGGGTGGGTGTATATGTGTGCAGGTTGCTTGTCAGACTGCCTCCAGCAGAATCACCCTCTGAGCAGCAGCAGCAGCAGCAGCAGCAGCAGCACTCCACTGCTGCTCCCGGTGGAACGTTTAGACTAAAAACCCTCCATCCGTCTCCCCCTTGTGCTCAGAAAAAAAAAAAAAAAAAACAACAACAACTTTATGAATGTTTGCTTTATATAAGTTCTCATGATGCACGGCCCTGACAAATAGATGCGGTTACTCCTGGGGGCAAAGGGAGCCGGCACTAAATTTATTGATGCAAAAGCAATGATACATGAAATTCGGATGCACGATAAAACAAATGGTACACATTACATTTCCATATTTCAAATTGCTCACCGTTTAATAGGTGCTGATAATTATTGTTTTCTAAATAAACACCAGGACTTGTATTTCTTTTGAATTATAACTGAGTCACTTGTGTGGATTTATTGTCATGTCATTTTATTAATTTCCTAAAGTATCTCATTCCTAATGCACTGACCATGTCATCTACCTGAGTAGTATCACTTTACATGCACACATTTTCAGCGCTTATTTATGCAAACATTTAATGATATTATAACTTATCTTTCTTGAACAAAGGACACGTTTTTCCATTTTGGACTTAAAGTGCTATGAAGAAGCATTTGCCCTCTTGAAGATTTCTTCTGTTTTGCCCAACTTAAACATTTGAGAACATCAAACCCATTTTTTAATTGCATTCAAAGACACCCCAAGTAATTACTAAATTGATAACTTCATTAATTAAGGCCAAAAAAACCCTGGCAGTTTGGAAAATGTTACAAAAAGTAAGTGTCCGGCATCGTGTGGTGGTGCCTAGTTGTCACTGGACCGGTTGCTAATCCATTACAGGGCAACTCAGGACAGAAAAGTATGTATAAAGGCATTCAATAGACGTGACAGTCATGTTTGACTGTAGGAGGAAGCCGGAGTATCTGGAGAGAACCCACAATGCATCGGAAGAGCAGACTCCTTGGAGAAGGACCTGAGACCTTCTTCCTGCAAAGAAGTAGCGC